ATATATATATATATTTACAATTACATTATATATTTCCGATATATATTTCTATTTATTTCTGATTTATTTTAACAAGTTTATCATTGATTTATTACGTTCACAATAAACGTCATTCTTTTTATGATATAGTTCTCACTTATAAGAGATATTTTTACATTTAGATCGCTTTAAATGCCGAGAAAACTCGCATCGCTGAGATACGAGCTCAACGGGAAAATCACGAAGCTGAACTTTCCGCATTGCGAAAATCACTTCGCAGCGAAGCTATAAAAATGGTAAATAATTTAGATATCGAAAGTATCAATAAATGGCTTAATAGCTCTTAATAATTATACGGCCGTGACGTCGCTCGAAGCAAGAATAGCGAATAATATCGCTGAGGGCGATTCACCAGTCGGGCACGTAAAAATATCCTCCTTCACGAATACGAGAGCGCTAGCGTCAGCACGAGACTCTTCGAAGATGCTTATTAAAAAATTATGCCCTGCGGTATTGGTCTGCACTAGAAAAGGGTTTGTCCAAAATGCAGCAGTCCGGTCGGACGCTTATTCGGACAAAAGTTTTACCAACACGGCGAACAGTTTGCCATAGGCATCGACGAAAAAGAATGCCCCTTGCTGTGCGATTACTCAAAATGATCGCGCGTTTCCCACGCTATACATTCTTGCCCCGGAATTTCGGATGTGATTCAACAATTTGCAAATTATAGGGCAAATCGTACGTGCAGCAATAAATATGGAAAATTATGTATCTTCTCGAAATATTAGTTTAAATAACTGATTTTTTTAAATTTAATCCTTTCGATGTTGATATAAGTAAATAATTCGACAAATCGCTATAAAAAATTGTGAATTTTTACGAGAGTGAATTTTTTAGTTTTTTTTTTTATTCTGTTATTTCAAACATATCAAAATAAAAAAAAATATTTTAATGATTTCTTTCTCTAATCACGAAGGATTAATTTTGTTTTAGTTTCATTTGTAAAGTAATGCGACAGTTATATGTATAATGAATGAAAACTTACATCCAACGATTTATTTCAAGCTATGTCTAATTTCTACCGCGTTACCGCGTCCGCATCAGACGCTATATTTAATTCTAATATATTTATTCCTATCGGCACGCCGTGTAACTCGGGGAGATACTTCCCGCTTCCTAGCATGCCACTACATTGCGGTTGAAATCGTGCAGTAATGTTGTCTACCGCATTGCCAGCGTAGACTAATACGATCGCGACCTGATTCTTGGCAAGCAGCCAAATATCGGAGATAATGAAAGGAAACTAAGTCGGTTTTGGCATATGGGGCCAAAAATGAAGAATTATGAATCTCATTTATTTAATGGAAGCCTAATAAAAATTAATTTGAGCATCAAATTCATGGGATAATTTTAATAATAACTGATCATCTATTTAAAATGGTAATTATAAGAAGGTAAAATAGACTCTTTTGGATTTTTAAATCAAATTTAAAATATTTAAAGTGAATCGAATATTTTAACGCTAAGAATTGAACGAATTCAATTGTAGGTTTCATTGTTTTGAAACGAAAATGCCGTTCGAGGGATTATCAACTGACGCGGCGCTCGTTTATGTATACGGCCGTCACGTTCCGATCGTAATCCGATCATGGTAATAATTGATTTAAGACTTCCGGTCGCCAAATGATTCATCGTTCTCAGAAATCATGTATTGCTATCGTGTGCAACCGGAACAAAAAGCACGCGCTCGTACGTGCGAACACCGTGAATGCTTAGAGACATCGATGGATAACGCGGCGTTTCTCTCATCCCACACCTGTACAGACAAGGTGAAGGCAAAAAGGCCCCCGGGGCCTGACAAGCCTGACTGAACGCGGTGGGACGAGGTGAGAGCTCGAAAGCGGTACGAAAGGGACCGATCGCTGCCCCTCCCCTTCGTCATCGCTGTGTATCCCATTCTTCGTCGCGATCGCTGGCGATGTTAATTTTTCTCATTGCAACTTTCGCCATACGTGTCCACGCGCGAGAGATCCGCCGCATTCAAACGAGTTTTGCGGATTTTTGCAGATGGATGAGCTGCGTGGCAAGAGCCGAGAGATTGAGAAGCTGTCGAAGCTCTTGAAACGTCGAAAGTTGGCGCCGGCGGAACAAGAGATGGTGAGTATTTGCATTTATCTACCGTGTTTCCGCTTCCGCGAGATATATCGCGAATACGATACGTAAAATCTGGTATTTTAAAATATCAGGATCTCTAATGTTCGTATCAGACTAGAAACTGAGATCGAATTTGATCAATCAAAGAAAGGTCCATTGATATTGGTTTTCTTTTTTCTGATTGGTTAAATTTAATCTCAATCTCGATCTCAATCTCGATCTTTATTTCTAATTTTGTATAATGCAAAGCCTTCAAAAATAGCTACTTAGATAAATTGTATGTACGATATTAGTTTTGTTGAAAATTAGTTTTTTGTTTAAATAAATTGTAATAAATGCATATTATATTTTAAGATTTTAATTCAAAATTAAGTGTCATAAGTTGATTTCAAATCGAAATTTTATCTAATATTCATTTAATTAAAATTAAATGTTATAAATATCAAGTTGAATAATATTTTGTAAAGTTAAATAAGATTGGCATTTATATATTTAAAATTTGCCAAAATCTTTTATTATTTAATTCATTACTGTTAATATCGTATCATAATATTTTTGTGATGAAAAAGATACATCAATTTTGGAAGAAACATTGTCGAGAACATTAAATACATTTATTAATGAAATTTATAAACTTTATAAATCGAATTTATAAACTTATCTTTTTAAAAGCTTCTTGTTTTCAATCGCTTATAATTATTCTGTTTTCACTATTTATAGACTTTCCACATTTTAGTAAAAGTTAATTCCAATTTGATCACAGAGTTAAAACATGACCTATATATAGAACATTCTATTGTATATCACATGTATTTATTCATAGAAATTTTTTTAATGATTCTACTACTTTTGAAAAAAGTCCAGAAACATTATAAATAAGATAATATTTATATTTTCAATACTTTCAATCTAATAATATTCACTTTAAATATTGAATTATTTACAGCACATTACATCTGTTTGATCGTTTATCACGAAATAAATATCAATAGTCTCTTTTGTCTCATTCTTGTCAGATATCTCACTCTGAATTCTTCCTTATTTCATTCGTTCTCAGATATGCGCGACGGTAAAGAACCGTCGTGTGAACAATCCAACGGTTCACCCTGAGGACCGGTGCACGCGATTATCATATCGTGTGACTTCCGATGTAAGTTTATACAGCATCAAGTTCCTAGAAATCTTTGACATGGACACTCGATTCGTTCAGAGTTAAAATCAGCGACTCAGTATATACTTGATTTCTTAAAACTGCCATCTGTCATAATAACAGTACTTGTGTTAAATATCATTTTTAAAGAATATCTTATAAACCAGAAGTTACTCTGTGTCCTATTTACTTTTTTTCTTTGTCAGAGAAGTACTAAAAGAAGTCATTAGTCATTAGAATTACGTCATTAAACGCAAAGCTATAAAGTATGATGACTCGCTGATGCGATGGAGGGTTAATGAACCATTATGTGCAGCGATACCGAAGTGCGCTTAAAACGATACCGCACCGTTTAAGCATCTTAGATATTTGGACATGCTCCAAGAAAGATGCGCTGACAACAGTTAGTCGCTACTTTTCGGACAGCGGTCTTCACTTTCGTCGAAGCGTTTAATGATTCAACGAAGCCATTACGAATCGCTGAATCCAAGGGATATTTCATATCTTGATGGTTCGCTTTTAGCCGAAGGTACTCAGATATCGTGATATCACCGGGTCAACGTACCGGGTCACATCGCAAGACGACCCGCGCGATCCGTGCATTGTGTATTATACGCGTCTTCGTCATCTTAAAGGAACTTAAAGGCCATGCGAGCGAGCGGTCGCAGCTAAAAGGTTGTAGTTATGCGCCGCACAATATAATTGACACCCTTTCCCATCTTATCGCCGCTTAATCGAGCTAGCTAACGGTAGCGCGAGATCTACAGTAAAAGCGGTAAAAGCGATAAAAAAGCTTTCTTTTCTTTGGCAACGGTTTCGTGAACTCTGATCTAAAAAGAAGAAATGGAAACAGGAGAAATGTTTCATTCTCTTCATCTCGAGACTTTTCAATTTCCAATCTCAATCTCAAATCTAATATATACTCTCTCTTTAAGAAACACTCTCCTTTCGCGAAGAGAAACATACACGACCTAACAACCCTTATTGGAAAGCTGCTTAAGTGTTATTTCTTTTAATATCAAGAATAATAATGAAAGCTACCGATAACAAAAATTCATTCATTCTTTTTCTTTCCAAGAAAATTCTGTCTTAATTAAACGCTAAATTAGCAAATTGTTCAAATCACACAGGTATGAGAGTGTGACATGAAGATGACACATAGGAAGGTACACGAGCGCATTGTCTCGCGTCACACCCTTTGACGAGGAAGGTGGGAGGGAGGAGAGGAAAGAGGGAGCAGTTATGATCCTAATCTTACGTTTCATTGTGTCTCGGGCTTAAGTTCCTGCCAGGTCAGCAAACCGTAGATACGCCTGTAACTTTCCGAATGGAATGGAAGAGAGGAACGGGTCCGCGCTCGCAACTCCGTACACAGGTAGCGTAGAAGGCCCCCGCGATTATCGGAGGTGGCTCGCTTCAGTCTGGTCTAGACGTCGGCCGTGCGCGCACCATTCTTCCGACGCGACGTGTCCGCCACCACTTTTCCGTGCGTGCCTCGGGTGTGACACACGATCGAGGGATTTGCAGAATCTCTCTGTGTATCGTTTACTAGGGATACCGGCGTATACCGACATCCCGGTATTCCCCCTTTCACGCCCGTTATATGAATTCTCAACATCAACGTGCGCTTCATGGGGTTCGCGTGGAACGAGGTAAGGATTACGATCTGCGTCTCCCTTGTTTCCTCTCTCATTTACACGTGATTATCCATTGGTTTCCGTTACGTTCAACGCGAAATTGTAGCTTCCCTTAAATGAATTAATCATTTACGGAGCGATTATAGATATTATATTCTAAAGTGTTACTTTAAAAAAAAAAAAAGATAAAGGAGAGAGATTGACAATTATAAATTTGATTTTAAATTTTATACTTTAAAGTGTCACTCACATAGAAAAGTAAGAGAGAAAGAATTGGCAATTATAATTTTTAACCTTTACGCTACAAACAGCTACTATAAGAAGCTTTCACCTATGTGTTCATCGCATATGAGAAATCATTATAGTGAAAATTTTCACTGCACATATGTAATGACATTATAAGGATTCATCGTTAAAGCAATGTTATGAAAGAGCATCCTTATTAGGAACATCGTTAAAGAAACTTTCAGTAATTTTTTTATCAACAAATTATTTTTTAATAAATTATGTTGATTGACGATGCGATAAAATTATACATTTCAATTCTGTATGACAATAGTTTTTTTCGAGTATAATTTGTTATGATGAAAATGCTTTTAATTTAGTTTTGTCATCATGTAAATTAATCGCTATGATATTAAAAAATACTTACTAATAATAATAACCAATAATTGTACATTAACACACAAATAGTATTTTTAATTTTTTTCTTACTTATTATTTAAATAATATTTATTTATTAAAAATCGCCAAATTTTAATTTAAAAAAATTGCAAATAAAGCGAAATAAGAAAATATTAAAGCAACGAATATAATCCTAGTAATAATAAAAAGTAAAAAATGTAAGCAGAAAATAAAATAAAATAATAATTAGATTCTATTATAGAGATATAATTCACAAATTAAAAATATTGCGAATAATGTACTTAAAGAAATCTAATATTGGCCAATTTAATATTAAAGGATATTTCAAATAAATAATTTATTGCTTATTTAAAATATTAAAGATCAGCAACAGTGCTTTTAATATTCAAATTAAATACTTAATTACTGCTTTTTAGTATTGAATTGATCAGTATTAAATTTTTAAGGGTATAGACATTACTTAGGATTCCTACAAATATTTTCACTATTATTCTGTGTGAGCAATTGACTGCGATTAAACCTACAGCAATCATCGAGATTAAATATTTTTACGCTCTTATTCCAGTTTCACTGGCGCCTTCTCTTGTCCCTGAGTAGAACGCGAATAGAGTGTAGTCAATCGCGTTCCCAGGGAAATCGACATAAGTTGCGTGTCGTCGACGTACCGTGGGAACAATCTCGTGATGCGGGTCACGATGCGAGAGAGAAAAAAAAATAGCAGAAATGAATATGTCGTACGATTGTAACAATAATTCCCATAATTGAATTATTTTGTCAAATCATTTTGCGGAATAAAAAGTGGCTCCAGTTAGCCATACACAATTGAACCAGCACGGTTCTTGTATAGTATCTAATAATAAGAGCAATTAGCTGAAAGTAGGTATTCTCTTTAAGATTCCTACTTAGTTTTATGTTCCTATATACTTAAAATTAGTTTTCCGTTAATTGGCAGTCGTTACCAAGTTATTACAAGAACTATTACACAAATTGCCGACAATGTGCTGTATTATTTAATATTGTAGGAATTTTAAATAAAAAGTTTTAAATAAAAAGGATTGAAATAAAAAACAGATTCTTAATATGTTTACAAATAAAGGACAATATACATAAATATATAAATATATTAGTCTAATAATATATCATATTAATGTAGCCTGTACGATACATTGTATAATATATTGTGCTAACCGTTAATCCTTTCGTGAAGAGTCATAATAGTAGTTTTCATCATATTTATTATGTATGGAGAATCATAGTGATTGCGTGTATAAACGCGTTGGAACTTATTATTCATCTGGGGATCATCTGGGAATATATAAATACTTGATTTACCTGAATTAATAAACATATACGTTTCAATACTATTCTTCTATAGAAAAGAAAAGTGCTTTTAAAATAGAATAGCATTTTATTACATCATACAGTTTAATTTTTAATTAGCTAGCTTCTCAAAAATTAATTTCAAACAATCGAAATGAAAAATGTTCGCGATTTCGCAAGAACGAAGTAACAAAGTTTGGATATTTAGATTAAAAAATAATCAATATCTATAATATATAATTTACGTAAAACTAATCTAAGACTAATTTTAAGTAAATTCGCAAATCCATTGAAATGTGTCCGCTCGCAGCATATCCAAAGCGGATACTTGCGCGTGTAGGCACGAGCGGACACGTAAGTATGCCTTAAGCACTTAACTATCTACCATTGTCCTCCTTTGAGGCGGCACGCGGGATGAATTTCAATGACTCCGCGACGCGTAAAAAAAAGAGAGAGAGAGAGAAAGAGACGAGAGAGAGAGAGAGAGAGAGAGAGAGAGAAAGGCGGCAGCGATCCGTCGCGATACCGGCTCCAAACAGAGCTGTTATTTCACCGGATGCGCTTCCTCGCTTCGTCTCGATTGCAAGTGGAACGACCTGCACGCGAGTTCTCCCTTTGATTCTATCTTGAGCCTTCAAGAATCAGCGGGAAATACTCTCGGGACGAAAATGACGACGGCGCGGCGCCAGTAGGCAAGTACCTTCTCGACAACTAACGATACCAGCGATACCAGCCACTCTCGGTGAGCTACTTCACAGAAGAAAGTTCCCAATCTTCCTTCCCACCATCCCCCTCATCCCCCAGCAACCGCAAAGATACGAGCGCGAGTCGTGATACATCGGTGCATAAGAGCACACATATATTAGCGTGCAATCGAGCCCGCGGTCACGTTACCACCGGACCGGATCACCTCGAGGATCGCCGTCGCGGTTTCTCTATGTACCTACTTAACAACACCTTCGCTCAACCTCGCCTCCTTAATCCTTGACTTTATAAAGAAATCCGCGCGGGCTATAAGACGAATGATCGAGAGAGAGAGAGATCCGGCAAAGCCATTTTTCTATATCCTTTTTTTCGCGAGGAACTACGATAAAGTTACGCTTCCAAGAATCTTCGTGACATTTGGCGCACCTCGATATCTTTACCGCTGTATCTCAGCTGATGAGTCAGGATCTTTTAGAAGATAGGTCCATACAACACACATTTTATCCGAAGAACATCTTTAGGATATTCTCTGGATACCTTTAGGATGTCCCTCGGAGATTTGTGCTGTATGAGGAGGTTTAATCATTCTTTTTTTTTTTTTTTTAAGAAGGTAATCGATAATCGTCGTTAAGAAGATCTGAGGGATGATCGAAGTCCAAGTTCGTGGTCAGACCACAAACACGATGTTCATCTGTACAGATGCATGAAAGACCTCGACGGCGTGGGAGAGATGCACTGAGATGCGCGCTTACGTAGTCTCACGTCTACACGCGGTGCTATGTAATTCCAATCCAATCGTTGCGGTCATGATATTAATAATACCTGAACGGTGGGCGTGCACCACAGTGTAATTAGCAACTTCCTCTCTTAATAAGAAGTAACGAGCATGCATAGGAAGGACGATACGTTATATGTTGTAGTAGGTGTGTTTGGCACCCACGGCACGTCCTTCGATAACGCGGACATTTCGATTTTATATGCGGGTCGGCGAGCGCGAGTAAAGCTGACAATGAGAGCGAAAGTCGCGCTTCGAGCGCGACAGACAGCGTACGAAGGCTTGGCAAGAATCGAATGTAATAATAAATCATAAGTGAGCGTTATGTTATCGTGAACATATTGAAAAAAATATATATGTCGTAGAACTACCATTTTTGAAATCTTATTTTATTCTAAAAATTTTATTTTAATTTAATCGAAATTGCAAGGAATTTAATATATTGTTTCAAACGCTACGTATTCAAAAAGATTGTAATTTTTAGAATTCTTTGCTGGTTCAAAAAAAAAATAGAGTTTTGTTGTACATTTTTTTCATAAAAAAGACATTTCGAAGTATCAAATTTTGAAATAAAAAATTTAAATACATATAAATCTAAAAATAATTTTGTTGAATCATTTAAATAATTATACAGAACGCTCAAATTGAAGTGGCTAGAATATTAACTTTTTGTAGTATCGCTCATTATACTTGTGATTCGTATCCATAATTATTTTAATAGTCCAAAATTATTTTCAGATCTGTATGTATCCAGCTAAATTTTTTTAGATACATCAATAAAATCATCTTTAATGTTAAAATTAAATAATTTATATTGATAATTAGTTTTATATGCTTCAAAATTTGGAATTTTGTATATTATACAATATTATATATACAATATTATATATTTGCAGAATTAAAATTATATTTACAAGATAAAAAAATGTTTTACATTTTTATGGAAGGAGTTCTTTATAAACTGCATAAAAGAATAAAACTATCTTATACTCTCGAATGAAATAAACGAATAAAGTAATTCAGTACGTAAATCTTGATTGATGGATTGCGTGTTCTATAAGGAAGTTTCGTTGATCTTTAATAGACCATAATACATTAGAAATACGCAAGCCATCCGAGAAACACGCGGACGGATTACGAGATCATAAGCGGGGGTGGGAGACGATCGGTGAAAGTGAGATTAGGTACTGTATGAAATGGTACAGATTGAATTAAGATGCCGCAAACAAGATTCTCATAAGATATCCTAAATTTAACCTGTTTACAGAGTGTACGAATATATAAATAGATATATTCCACTGCATTACATATATAGAACTTCTAGAAATGTGAATGTCTATTATATATAGATATTAAATTTTGTGTGTGTATGTGTGTGTGTGTGTGTGTGTGTGTGTGTGTGTGTGTGTGTGTGTGTGTGTGTGTGTGAAAAGAATTTTAATATTCTGAATATTAAAAAAATCCAAGTCATTATATATACAATAATTGGATAATATATGAATAGAGCAATATAAATAAAAAATAAAATAATAATAAATAGATAAAAATAAAGGTTATTTATATTTCTTCTAGCTTCTTAATCGTCATATTATATAACGGTTCAAATTTCTTTTTTTAATTTCAATTTTTCCGCAGTTATAGAAAAAAATGCTGCAACAAATAACTATAGGAAAAACATAATTTACATATAATCATTTTTCTACTTAACGACTTAATTAATACGTGAAGAAATTTTAGAGGAGTTATTAGATATCCATAAATAATTAATTTTTCCGAGATTCGTGATGTGAAACAATATGATTTCTCCATTTTTCAAAAATTAATGTCTTGGTATCTCTCTTGATATCTAAAAAAAAAAAATAGATCATGTTTTTACTTAGAAAAGAGATCCAATTTTTTATCAGTATTTATTAATTACTAATTTATTGGAACATTTTAATTATTGCTATCAATAAATATATAATTATTATTATATAAAAATCGAAGAGAATCGAATAAAATTGTTACGAGTGAAATATCCGCAACATTTTGGAAAATAGCGTTAATTAAATACTTCTGTGATCATTGCTAATGATTGTGGAAATTGCTTTCAACGCATGTCCGATAACTGTACGGCAGATGTCGAATAAATATAAGAAAACGTCGGGACAAAACAAGATGAGACGAGTGGCGAAGCGCGGATAACGGTAACGCGTGACGCGCTCGTTTCACCTGTCCCAATATGTCTTATATCCGATATAGTCGATCCCCCTGGCCCAAAGAGAGAAGAAACGAGCCGGTGTAACGAGCGCGCGTGTCCAACAATTTACATATATGGCGCAAAGTGCATCATCGTGCGTACGGCAAGTGTGCAAGGTGCAATCAGCTCTCTCGGCGCATCTCGTACGTTCGTGTGTACTATACACACGCTGCACATTGATATCACCTGAGAAGGAAGGAAACCGCGAGACGTGAAAGAGGGAGGAAGAGACTTGCGCGGCTGTATGTCAGGGGGCCAAGCTAACGGTCCACCCAGACTCTCAGGACTCTCTGTAATCCAATCGTTGCAACGCAACTCGCGTCTACTTTTCTCTCTTTCTCTCGCCTTCCTTTCGCGGCTTCCCGACTCGTTGCACATATGTCGTATCGGACCGTGACGTTCATCCAGAAGACTGAATTCACTGAAACGATCGCGATAGGTTTCTGCTACTTCCTTCCGAAGAACGCCAAGAAAAATAATGTAATTTTGCTGGCTTTGAAAGAAAGCCACATTATTATGCTCCTTCCTTTGAAAATTCAATGATTTTTTTTTATGTTCCTCGCAATTAAATATGATATCGATGAGACAATGTTGGAAAATAATTGTAATTAAAATATGTTTAAAAATAATATCATTCATAAAATTAATTTAATAATTTCCGTAGAAGTTAATTGCGGAACTTTTTCCTCTTATTTTAACTTTGACATTTAATTTTGCTGCTTAAAAAATAATTTTTATCAGATTTTGTGATTTTTAACGAAAGAAAACACAGAATCTTTGATGTATCTATCTACCAGAATAACTTGTGATTAATTATTTTGATATTACAGATGCGGAAGTTACGGGAGAACGAGGGAAACCGACCGATACAGTCAGCATCTCGCATAGAGAAAAAAAATCTCAAAGACGATGATCACATGGTTCGTTATTCTTTAACGCATAATTATATATAATGAGTAATTTTTTAAATAATTCTGATACAAATAGTTCCTTGGCAAAAATTTTTCTCAGAATTTTATAATTTTCTCACATTTTTTTATAAAATTGGAACACTTCTCAGAAAATCTACATTGTTTCTCAGAATTTTCTATATACAATTATGAAATATCGTAAGATTTCTAAGATTTTTTTGTAAGTATAATTTCTGATGAAATGTTATAAAATCTATTAAATCTAATTAAAAAATATTTTTAAAAAATTATTGTATAAGAAATATTTCTTCTCAGAATATTTCAGAATTCACTTGTGTGAAAAATTCTGAGAGAAGATGTAAACTTTCCGAATAGTTCTGAGTATTTCTGAAAAATGTTCCAATTCATATAAAAATTATAAGAAAAAATTTCACCTGATCTGATGCAAAATTACTTTAATTATTTTTCTGTATAAATCTATTAATATTTCAATTATATTGAGTTGTAGATATAGGTAAGTGATTATTTATTATCATATTTCTCACAATATCTCTCATATCTCGCGATAAAAGTGTATAATGACATAATAAGAATTAAGGTGGGGTATCGTTTAAGGTGAGGTCATATATGCGCGCAATAGAATCCAACAGAGCCATAAATGAAATTGAGGTCGAGCGCCTTCGTGAACTCGCGCTTGAACAGCAGGAAGTCATCGAAATACTTAGACAGGCAGTTAAGGTAATTTTTTTTAGGAAGTATGAATTGAAATTAAGAAATATGAATTGAAAAATATAATTTTTTATTTTTCTCATAAATTTTGAAGACTCGTAATATACTATAATTAATATCATTAATTTGAAAGAAAGATATTTCAACCTTAAATCTGCAAATTAAAAAAAAAACATCAAATAAGAGTATAGACATCTTAATATGAAAAAAAGATAATAGATTATATTGAGCGAATTAAAAATTTGCGTACTAATAAAATCAATCATTCTAGTAGAAACTAAATTTGAAAAATAAAATCGGATATTTTTATGTATTATTTAAGGAAAGAGAGAGAAAGTTGGAGCAATTATCCAACAAGAAGAGGAAGGAGGAATTTTATAAACAGTGGCTAGAGTTAGAACCAGTGGCTGAAGTGGATGATGAGGAGGATCATGAAGATGATGACAGTGCTCTATCGAGTGCCCCATCCTCGATGTCGCCACAACCTGGGGGCTATGGTCAGTGGCAAGGCAATGGTGTCACTAGAGAAGCATATGAAGCCGTTCTTATCGAGATCGAGGATCTACAATCAAGGCTTCTTAAAGAGCAACGCGAGCTATCGCATGCCAGAATTCAAATTTGCGACTTGGAGAAAGCACTCTTGCAAGAGGTAAAATTTATAATTGTAATATAATTGGTGTATAATGGTGTATAATCCTTGACGATTAATTATAATACAATAGACGTATAATTCTTGGCAATTTCTTTTCATTTGCATTATAATTGATACTTATAATAAAAGATGGATTATAATCTAGGAATACATGAAGAATTTTTAGCTTATAATATTGCATACCTGAAAGTTTTATAAAGGCTTTTGCATTTCATAGAGATGTGCTGATCGTGACAAAGAATTAAGTGAGTTGAATGATAAGCTTCGAGCTGCTGAGGAACGAGAAGCTACACTTTTGGTGGAGCTTTCGGAGATACGAGAGCAAAATGAGCTGCTGGAATTTCGATTGCTCGAAATGGAAGAAATACCTATACGCAAAGATACTCCCGATACGGTGGACAGCGGTATCGTTTCACCAGAACCTGTTCATACGAACAAGGTGAGCTTTCGTTTCGTATTGCGCATCAAGCTTAATTTAAATTAATACAGATAAATAACTAATCACTTAAGAATAAAATAACTAATCACTTAAGAATTTTTACTTATTATAAAATTAGAAAGGAATTTTTTATTTATTACATAAAATTATTATTGATATGCTAATAATCGTTCGTGTATCTTCCAGTTATATTTTACAATGCAATGATATTTCAGGATCATTCAACCAACAAACAGAGAAGCCGTGCCGTGGCAACCGTGATACCCTACACAAATGCTACAATGAACTCCATAAAATCTACATCACCCGTGTTACCGCGAAAGCCCCCGCTTACTCTTCAGGAAAGTGGTATCTTTGAAGAGGAAGAAGAAGAAGAAAAAGAATATGAAGAAGAGCACGACATCGAGTTTACTAGCCGCGGTACTCAAACGGAAGCACCGTCCGGTGAACTCCTGCAGGAAGTGCAGCGTCTTCAAGAATTAAGAGCTCGAATTCAGGAACGAGCGGCTAAGATCACAACACCGGTCTTCCATCCGATTGATTCATCTAAGATCTGCTTCGATGTGTCAACAATGGATTCGATAGTCCAGCTGACTTCCTATCAGGAGCGCGTTCGTGATCTTGAAGAGAGACTTGAAATGTATGAGGAAGCTGAAAAGAATCGAGAACAAGAAAAGCGATTGTCTAAACAGCGGGAGGAGGAGCTATTGGATGAAAACTACAGACTTACAGAGAGAACATACTGGTTGGAAAACGAACTGCGGACCATCAGCGCAAAGTGTACCGTCAGCGAGACTAACAATGGAGAGACAACTGTCTCTCAAATGCATCAAATAAAGAACATGAGCCAAAATAAACATCCAGAAGATGTACAGAACTTGGAAAATGTACAAAATCAACTTAAAGATGCAAATTGCACGCGTGCTGTTCAAACCATAGAAACATACGGAAATTACATGGCTACAAAATGTTCTCGATGTCAAGATAAAAATAAATCCGACAAGCAGATCACTCTGGGTGCTGGACGTAGTGTCACGGTAATATATGTTGTATCGATCTAGCTTTTTTTTAAATTCATTTACCGATTTGAATAACTTTATTTTATGTAACGGAGTTATTTCTTCTTTAATTCGAAGTAAACAATAAACGATCATTGCATATTTTACAGCTTATATCCCTAGAGAAGAAGGAGAAGAAAGATGAACTGAAACTCTGTAAATCCGAAGAACCGGTCGTAACTGATCTTACCAAAAACAACTTAAAAAAGAAGGTTAGCCGAAGACGAGTTAGGAATAACGAGCGCGAAATACGGTCCGTGAAAACAGCAAGAATGACAAATGTCAGATTCGTCCACGACTCCTTTGTTTCCTTTGGACGAAGAAATCCGTTGGTCTTGTATCAGGAAATATGTGTTTAGCTTATGCCGTCGCTCTATCAAATTCTTACCAACGAACTCTAATAAGATGGGCGTGGCTTAAAAATTCAATAACACCGTCTAGTAAACTTTCGCTGTAATTCCCCGTTTTCACACCGAAGAAAGTTGTGCTCGCGTTATAATTAAAAGCTGATAGCTCTGCCTAAGTTGATGTGTAGTTTTTGAGAAGCTGGGAATCTTCCTCGCAATAAAGGATTGCGCGGAAGAAAGCGCATGTTCTTCGGAGCGACAGTTTCCAGAAAATAGCGACGAACGGAAGAAGACCGAGGTCGTGGAGAGAAAATGCGGATGAGGAGGTGAGGAAGAGAAGGAGAAGGAAAGCTAACCGACAGCATATCTACCTTACGTCTTTGAACGTACGTATATGAGACAGACGACCGACAGCTCAGTTTTATTTGGAAAACATAAAAAAAAATACAATTATCAAATATGATAGCCAACTGTTCAAATTACAATAAATCCAACAGATTCATCAAAGTATTTGACACTTTGTTAATCTTTTTCCAAACATTTTGTAGAATCTGTTCTCGATAAAATTTGCTATCTCAGATACCGTGCTAACATTTTACTTGCTGAAATATTATGGCGTTGCAATTCTTTTTTTTTTTTTAGTTGCGCATGTGATATTAATATTCTCAAAATTGTCATGTAATAATCATGTTTATATTCTCAAAATTATTAATTACAGTGTAGTGCTGTCTATGACTTTTTATGCATTTTGATTATTCATCGAATTATGTTCAAAAAATTCTGACTAGCTATTTGGACTGTAGTAGAGCTTTGTAGCAAGTTTCTGCCTACGTAGCATAATCACAACATTATACATTACGCGCTTGATACCAGTTGGTGATGGTAACGACTATGCTTCACTTCTCCTATTTTCTTCATCTGTCTCATAGGAATTAGAACTATAGTAAACAAGGAATTAGAACTATAGTAAACAAAATGTATAAGCATAACATAACATAGCATAGTCATCTGAACCAAATAAACATCCAGCATAAAGTTTCCATATTGATATGTTTACATAATATTCTCATTGATCTAGATATTTGATGCTAGATATGCTATGCTTATATTTTGTATGCTATTATCTTATTACCTCTTAATCGCCATGGCAAAATATATTCGTAAAAATAGCGAGCATTTTATTTAAAATAAAAATTTCTTTATTTTAAGATAAAAATACGCATCAAAATTTAATATTTAGCGATATTTATTAATAATATTTAGCAAATTATTATTACACTTTTTCGTTACATTTAAACAGTACTATATAGCAGATTCGATTGCCACATAAAAAATCTTTTAAGTTTACAGTTTTATATATTGGACATTTAGGCAATTATTGTTTTTAATATTAAAGAATTAAAACTTGTACAGCACAAAAAGATTACAGAAACATTCCTGAAATCACTGCAAGATTGCAACACATATATTATGCAGTAATATTTTTTACAATATTTTTATCATTAATATTGCTACAAATTGTTGAAATTGCATGTCTCTCTATAATGTCTGTAATATTTTACCGTAATTCACAAGATTACAATGTTGCTGTAATATAATTGAAAATTTCTATATTGTGCGGGGAACATGTAAGCTTATGCTTCACGTTGTTCTTTACGCAGGTGATCTATTTTCGCTGGAGATAAATGCGAGAAGAGGTTCTCCATCGTCTCTCGTCGTCGCAGACTCTGTCCATCAACCCACGAGTTCCACGGAAGAGTCAATGAACCCGTGGGTAAAATCCGCGGCACAAACGAGGTAAGATAAATTTCTAAACGCTCATATTAATTTTAATAAGTAATGAATCATAATCAGCTTCCTAAGCTTCAAAACTTAGATTCAATCCATTCTACAAATTGGATATCGATTTATGTCTGTGTAGCTGATACTATTTATTCACAAATAAAAGGAGGACGTGCAAAATAAATATAGCATAGAGACACATTAGCGATCGGTTAACTTTGAGTCAATTTACCTATAACTGATCTGACTTCGGTCCTCATTGATTTTAAATCATAAATAACAGTTCTTTTACATAAATATTTTTACAATTTGTTACAGGACAATACGGCTGGCGCTGCTTGGTGTGCCCAAGTGACGATCAGAAATGGTACGTCCTAGAAATAAAACGAGGGCGCCTGCGGATCAAGTGCCTACCTGAACCCTCGGTTTGGCGTACTTCACCTTCCCACGTCACGACCAAT